CTATTCATTAGGTCTGGTTTTTTCCTTTGTTTGCTGGAAGGTAAGTTCCATGAGGGAACAAAAGTTTTAAAGAAAAAATCTGTCTTTATGTAAATGTTTGTTGACTACACTAATAAATTTTTAATTATTTTTATGTTTGCGTCTTTGGCCTGCATGTATATATGTGCCCCATGTGCATGTCTGGTGCCAGTGGAGGCCAGAAGAGCATGTCAGATCTCCTGGAACTGGAGTTACAGACCTTGTGAGCCACTATATGGGAGCTGGGAATCAGACCAGTTCCTCTGTTCTTAAATGCTGAGCCATCTCTCCAGCTCCTACATTAATACATTTTTTGAGCGCTAAGTGTTGGAGTGAGTCAGCACCTCCAATGGAGAAGCATTGGTAGCCAGGCTGGGGCTCGAGAGATGAAGACATGGCCTGTTGCTTTCCCTGTTGCGTGGGGAGGTGCAGCAGCAGGTACTCTGGGGAGGCATCCAGGAAAGACACTGTGAGCTTTATCCCACGGAACTTCCTTCTACCCAGCTGCTCCCTCCTCCCTGGTCTGGGCATACAAAAAATGCCTTTTCCTAAAAACTCTTTAAAGGTTGCAAATTTGTCAGCATGTAAGCAGGATTTTTGCCCACAAGTGTTTGGTTTGTCCCATTAGGGTTTTTGTTTGTTTGTTTATATTTTTTTTGTCATTTTGAAAAGTGTTTCTTAAAATCAATCAGATAAAAAAAATCTGGATTTCTAGCATCCTTATAAAAACAAGTTCTAATAAGGCTTATAGTCTCACATAGCAGCCAGCTGATGGAGTGAGTAGAGTTCTGTCATACCAGGCATGCACTCCTTGCTGACTGTCTCGTCTCTATGAGGATCTGACAGCGTTATATATAACAAGATAGCGAGAGATATATATATAATGACCCCTACTTTCTCTTTCTCCCTCCCGTCCCTGTCACCAACCCTTCCCCACAAATCCCTTCCCACATCCCTGTCTTTTGCTTTGGTTTTGTGACTGTGTTTAACCAGGGCCCTTGTAGTTTGGTGGGCTCATTGGGTGGACATCTGGAGATCCTGACGGCTCCTTCCCCAGAATCTTTAGTAGTCAGCAGTTTAGCAGCAGAGGTGGCCCCTTGAGCCCCTCACCCACTCGAGCCTGATGTTGCCGGCCCGTCCTTGTCCCTGACCAGTGCTGGCCGCTGTGTAAGTCCATGATTGCAGTTGTTGGGTCATGCCACGAAGATAGCGTTTCACTTCAGTCTCTGTTTTCTACCCTGGCGGTCTTCCTCTCTATTCCCTGAGCCTTAGAGATAGTGGTACAAATGTCCTGTGTAGGGCTGAGTTCAGCTGTTTCTTTTTCTTGGCACCTTGAAGCCAGAGTTTCTGCACTCACCACCATTTATTGTAAAAGAGAGCTTCTTCCCTAAGGTAGTGTTTACCTATGGATACTAACATCGACGTTTAGAGGCAGTTGGAGGCCTTGTAAGGTTGGCTCTGTGAGCCTGTGACCCTCCAGCCATGGATTTTGAAACCTGGTTTCAGTACCGGGCTTGAACTCTTGCCGACAGAGCCGTTGTTGGCCCTGGAGGAACTGCCACTGGGGAGCAGTGTGGCCCTTTCCTCCAGAATTGCGAGGGAAATTTAAGTCCTGCCTTTAAAAGTTGAAGCTTTCATACAGCTAGGTTTTCATGTCGTTCTTTTCTCGTTAAGTGATGCTGATATTGACTGGAAACAGCAACAGTTCGAAGAGTCCAAGAATTGAACTGTAGTTCAGCTTGTATCCACATGCTCACTTGCTCTGCCTTTTTGTGTGGCATTCTCCTCCTGGCGCCAGGCCATCGCTGGCCAGTTCATGTAATGGTCTTACTTCAGAGACAGTCCTGGTTAGTGTCCCCAGGAGTTCAGACACTCGTCACCTGATTGGAAGATATAACTAATCACAGGACTGGGTGGACGAGGGGAGGAAAGACAAGCTAAATAAGTAAATATGACCACTCTCCAGAGGTCCGCCACAGTTAGTGTCCTTGGAGGAACTAAGACTCAGTCTTCAAACAAAGCAAGAGTAACCTCAGAATTTCCTAGTTAAGACTCGGAACCTTTGCTGAGTCCTGGCGTGCAGGGTTAATGGTGCTTGGTGTGTGTCCTCCCCAAATACACAGCCTTACGTCACTGTTGCCGTGGTGACTTGTTTTCTCTCCTTCTGGATGGGAAGCGCTAGGAGATGGGCTGGAGGGGAGAGCGGTCCTCTGCCTTCTGGCCCTACACATGGGCATTTTTCTCGTGGGAGAGCAGCACAATTGGCTGGCCTGGCTTGTGCTTTCTGTGGTTTTGTTTACATCCCTCTGGGTGTCATAAGGAAAACAATGTCTGTTTAGAGGGAGAAATGAACCCCGAGTCCCTGGGTTCCTGGAGCATTGTGTTTTCTCAGTGGGTTGGGGAGGGCCTCCCTCTTGGAGAGTAAGAGTGCTGCCTTCATGCTCAGACACAGAGGCTGTGTCACGTGGGGGCCAACCTCAAAGCAGGCCCTGGGTCATTTCGGCAGTCAGGAGACTCCAAATGGACATCATCCCACCAGGAGGCAGAGGCAGGCGGATCTCTGAGTTCCAGGACAGCTGGGGCTACACACAGAAATTCTGTCTCGAAAAACCAAAAAATAAATGAATGAATGAATGAATGAATGAATGAATGAATGAATTAGTGAATGAATGAATAATAAAAATAAAAAAAGAAAGATACCCAGAAAAGAACTGTTGTGCCCAGCCTAGACCGGGCTCGCCAGCGTGCTCCTGACACTGTTCTGAGGTAGATGACTGCTTGTGCTAACTTCATTGTCTTCTGAAAGTCTACCGTGTGGTTCTTCACATCACACCTCTGTCAGTGCGGGAAATCTGCTCTCAAGTGACATGAGTGTGACCAACACAGCTTCTGTACTGGTTTGAGAGGAGGTGTGACTTAGGAAGTACCTGGATTCGCCTCTCAGGCTAGCTGTTAGGAGGTAGCAGGGGCCATCTGCCCGCGCAGATAGCTGCGGGACACTGCATTTCCGTCCCTCGGACGCCTTGTTCCGTTCTCTTTGCTGCAGTTTGGGAAATCTATGACTCATTTAGCAAGTTTGTGAGGGCCTCTAACTGGAGGCCCCTTCTCTTCTGTGGACACCTTTAAAACGGAGCGCACAGAGCAGTGTCTGGTCAGGCAGTGAGTGAGCCCAGGGTATCAAGATCACATGGGAAACTTGACACGTTGATCTAGGGTAAGGCCAACTCTGTCTCTAAAGTTCTCCAAGTGAGTCTAGTCCAGACAAGGAAGAGGTGACCGAGCTGCGTGCTTTCAGGTCACCCCGGAGTTCCTGAGCACCAGAGAGGATACCTAGAAGCAAGTGGGTAGAGCAAACGTCAGGGTCTCTAGGTCCCAGTATCTTCTGTTTGCCCTAATCCCACCTTTTTCCCTGAGGAATTCTGCGACTTTCTGTCCTGTACATAGTCTACTGATGGGAACCAGGGGTCTTCCTGGTTTGTTCATTTGTCATTTTAGGGGAGGAGGAAGACCATGCTAGGGCTTTAATGCATGGCTTCATACCTAGTTTTTCAGCAAGTGCTCTACCACTGAGCTACAGCCCAGCCCCCTTTAAACCTTGGTAAGTTACTCAGGCTGGCATTAGATTTACACTAAGACTCTTGGGTGTGTACCATTAAGTCCTGCAGAGCAGATTTTTACCACAGTCTTAGTCACAGGCCCTCTCTGAGAAGGGCAGCACAGACTTAGTTAAACCTAGTTTGCTAAGACTGCGAATGCAGACCCTTCTGCAAGAATTCGTGGTCTGTAGCCTTTGAGGAATCTAGCAAAAGAAAAGGAAATCTAATCGTAGTAAGTGATAGTGACCCATGAGCTAACCCTCACGACAGTTGAGCAGTCTCAAAAGGAAGTGGGGTGGAACTCGGTGGAAATGACCACTGGAGGAGCCAGGTGATCTCCGTGCCTCTAGTTGGCTCATACAGTATTTTTTCTTCAGTTTACCCCAGGCTCGAACACCTCACAATTTGTATTGGTTTGCTTATCTTGGCCCAGCCCTGAAAGCACTGGCCCTTTATCTCAAAGAGCTTAGAAAACCATTTGTTATCACGGTGCGGTCTGCAGGGCTGTTCTCATTTCCATCATGGAAACAATCCGTTCTGTAACTGTCGGTCACGGCTCCTCAAGAGTCAGGTTTCAAGGGGTTGATATTTAGCAGACACTGAAAAGCTATGTTTTATTTCCCTCCTTGGTAAAAAGGAAAAGATAGGAGTGTGGCCTCTTATTTAAGAGTAGAATTTGGTGTTAGTTAGGACTCCATACAGAGTTTATACAAGAAATCCATTGCTGTGAGCACAGCTTCGCTCTGTTTCCAGGAAGGAAGCGCTGCACCGGTGTCTTGGTGGGCTAGATTGCATTTTTTCCTGATTCAGATCAAATGTAATTAAGATTACTCTTCTCCTTCGTCTTCTGCTGTTTGAAACGCTCCTTGCTCTGTGGTCTCACTGATGGACTCATCTCTTGGGGTTGTAGATCAGCATGCTTTCATTCCAGATTGCAGCCTCTCTGTCATGAGTTTTCCAGTTTTTGGTTTTTCCTCTTTTTTCTTTTTTGGACATGTTTGTTTTATGCTGTATCACAAAATGGATTTTCTCATTTCACTTCTGAAAGTATTTGTCCCCTTACAATTAATTAATGAGTAACATGTGCATCCAAGGATATTTATCCAATGGCACCAATCAAATTTTATATTTTTAAAAGCAGCCATGCCTTAAAAAATAGTTGGCAAGTCATTTTAATTTTTAAAAAGCTCATTTCCCAAAGAAAACTAGTTTAAAAAAATAATAAAAATATTCCTATAGCAATTCTATACAATAAAATTACTATTGAAATTATTGCCAATTTTTGGCTATTATACTCTTTCTTATATAACTTAAAATTTGGACCAGAAAAGTATAGAAAGAGCATAATTCTAAAACATACAGCATAACTTTTTTTTCTTTTTGTAGCATTAATCTTATCACTGGTCATTTAGAGGAACCAATGCCAAACCCTATAGATGACATGACAGAAGAACAAAAAGAATATGAAGCCATGAAACTTGTCAACATGCTTGATAAACTCTCCAGGTATTGTATTCCCGTCCATTTTTTGCTTGGTTTCTAAGAACGGTCGATTTCTTTGTCTCTCTCAGTGAGAGTTCCCATAGCACAGCAACTCTGGCGTCCATGTCTATTGGAACAGGAGCCTGGCGGCGGCAGCGTTAGTGCCGCCATGGCTCTCTCCATGTGCCCCTCGTGGATGTGCATTCCAGAGACATGTCAACACTCAGTGCTGAGCAGTAGAGAGGTGGCTGTCATATTAACTGACTAACCCCCCTGTCTTCCAAAGAGTGCTTCAAGTTAGAGTCAGTGATTTTGCTGCTGCTTGTATTTTTGTTTCAGTCTGTTTTGGTTTTTGTTTGAAACCATGGTGCGCTTTTTCTCCTTTCCTTTTTGATGTGCAAGTTTGCCGTATTGCTTTTTGAGTTGCTGCTGAAACCAAGAATTCTAAAATGCCATATACCCTTCAGGAAGCAGTGAAAAGAAATAGCTCAAACAGAGGACTTTTTTTAATCAGGGACTTTTACTGATTAGGGGTTCCAAAAACAACCAGACCCCCGCCTTGCTTCACACCTCCTTCCCTTTCACAAGAAAGGGAACCAGTAGGTAATTCAGTCAAGATCTGCTGACCATCAAGTAGCTCTTTTGGAGGAGTTCTTAGGAGGGGTTTCCTGCAGGCTTGGATGGGTTGCCTTACTCTCCAGTCATACATTGAGCCACTGTGTCCTGTAAGTCATCTTGAGTGAGTGTTTCTTTGTGTTGGTGACAGCCACCATGGAAAGGTGAATCTCTTCTGCTCATCTCATTTTTCACACAACCATAAAGGCTGCTATTCATCAATCAAGGAAAAGAAGATTTGAAATCGAACAGCCAGAGACTAGCTAGGAAGGAAAGGGGCCAACAGGGAGGCATAGGTTCCATTTGTAGCCAGAGACTTGGCTGAGCTGAGCAGTGGACGGCTGTGGGTTGGTACAGTTAGAGCAGATAGGGTCTTTTGACATTCTGTAGTCTTAAGCTTTCTGGATGATAGCGGCAATGCGTAGAAGCTGCTTAAAAGTAGCTTCTTTGTCTACAAAGTATTCTAGAACTTGGTGACTGCTGGCTGCTCCTAAATTTTTGTCCTTTCCCAGCATTTGGCCTGTTTGCAAATTACATTCTGCTTAACGTTTTCTACAAGTTCTTTCCCAGAAGGAATTAATAACAGTCACAGAGACTGTTACTAGAGCAGACCTATATTAAGCAAAATAATGAGCTCTGTGTGAATATATAGAATAAAATCTGGTAGCTGGAGAAAGAGTTCAGTGCTGAAGCCCAGGCCCTGGGTTCATTCCCAGTACCCTCCCTCGACAAAAAGCGTATATGTAAAAATAAGTTGTGTGGGCCTGACAGCTTCCAGATGGGTCTGGTGTAGCTAATGAGACACGGTGGTATTAGAATGAAATCAGTAGATCCATCTGGTGGAAGCCAGAAAGGAAATTGTTAGTGAGGACCTGAGTGGAACATGTTTGTGTTTTAGCACAGTAGATCATTCAAGTAGTATAAATTTCCTGTTATGACGATAAGAGTCGCTGGCAGTTAACACAGACGCTGCATTACTGGTCCGTTTAACCTGCATGAGGAAACACCCAAGCACAAAACAGAACATGAGGAATAAACTGCCCAAGATAATACAGTGTAATCTGGATACTTGGCTTATTCATAAATATATCACCAACTTCATAAAGTACCCTATTAATTCACATAAAACGATTCTCTTTCATCTCAGGGGAATCTACATCTTTTATACATATTTTAGAAGCTACCAATAAATAAACACGTAGACATTAATTCCGAAATGTCCAACTTCCACCTGATTTAAACTATGTCTCTAAAAAGACAAACATTCACCAAGAAGCACCCAGCAGGTACCCAGCTCAAGCCGAAGGTGGTCCTGATGCTCACACGTATAAAACAGAGCTAGGAAGTCTTGTGTTGGCTTTGATGGAACCTATTTTGCCATTAAAGTTGAAGCGAGAATGAATTTGAGAATAGTCTTAAGTCATGTTGACTTTTTTGCATGAGGTGTGGTAGGTTTTACATCGTCTGCCTGTGTGTGCGCTTTCTAACATTTGCTCTCACTAATAACAGGGACAGCTGTGTGAAGGTCAGCGTAGGCATCCCAGAGCAAGCATGCAAAGAATGAAACCATTCCTTCATGTGTTGTTGTTCATGTTTGTTGTGCTGTATTATTCATTAGTCGTAAGCTTCATCTTTCTTTTCACTGTTTTCTTATTTTTGATAAAATAAGAAAAAATAAGATGCCATGCAGCCAAGTAGACTTAGGTTCAGTACTGTACAAGGAGCGTTTACTCAACAGCTCCCATGGGCAAGGGAGATTTGGAGGTGAGTGAGACAGTGTCTGCCTTTGGAAAACTCACACTCTTGCAGGAGAAATGGCTGTATAATCTATTTCAGAATACAAAGTAGAAACTGAGAAAAACAAGCTCTATGTGTTGAACTGTTTGACCTGGGGAAAGGAGCAGTCTGTTCTGTCTAAATGGTTCAGGGAGTCTTTTCCGGGGAACGGAAGTGACGTGTGGACTGGTCATGAAGTTTAAGAAGTATTCTAGAGAGAAATGAAAGTGGCCATTCATTGTAGGGAGAGAGACTTAGTCCTTTTAAGTCTTTAGGCTTCACTTACTGCATCTTTCTTCCAAAGAGCTCAAGTGGCATGTTAACCTCACTGACCAGTGGGAAATTAAGGACCACAGAAATGCCCAAAACATTTCCAAGGGGATGGCTGCTAAGAATCCATTTTCTTTACCGTTTACAAAACACTCGCCCATTGTGCTGTCTCCAGCTCTGAGACAGAGTGAGACTAGGAACTTGGTTTTCCGGAACTCGGGGCCTCTGCTCTGTCCACTGTGTTCCTGTGTCTGTTGTGTTTGCCAGGACACTGGAGTCACCTCCCGGCAGTGTCTCCTGCCCCGACAAGGAAAGGCTTGAGTAGAGCGTAGGATTGGAGGTGACGTGGCCACGGCATGGACACTAGACACTTCCTTTTCTCATCCATAGGAGAGCAGATGTGAAGGCGCTGCACCAGGATGGTGGTTAGCGACAGTGGCCCGTGCCAAAGCACTTTCCAAAGTGATGACTAAGGTTGGTCACGCCAAGTCCTCTTCCTGAGCCTGGTGTAGGGTACAGATGTTACTGCCCAAAGTGTAAAGCTATACTGTGAATCTGGAGGTCACATTTCCATCTCGCCCACACACTAGACATAGCCCTAAGGAGCGCATGTCCTCAGCATCTTTATCCCAGCTAGTGAGGAGATTAGTGCTCAGAAGGCTCCTTACTGAATATGGACCGAGTAACATTCTCAGTGACGTCAGATCATGTCTGTGTTAGATGTTTCTAGTCCTTTGTAGGATAGCAGTGCATCTGGAGGTTTTCAGAGCTCAAAGGCCATCTGAACCCTGTAAATCCTGTCCTGTACAGCTAGTTCAGTGCCTTTGCCCTATGGTTTCCCCGGTGTGCAAGGATGGAGAATGGAATGGCTCACCTCCAGATTGGAAGTCTGTTGTTTTCTGTATAAAATAACCTGCAGGGTTCAAGGCTTCAGAGTGTACTTGTCAATTCTTAGTACTTAGCCAAACTTCATCAAAGTAGAGACTGTAAAGGAATGTCATAAAAAAAAAAAAAAAATGTGGGCCCGGGTAAGGTGACCTGCTGACGCCCCACACAACCCAAGTCAGAAGCTCATTTTTTAATAAAAGGGGGACCTGTAAATCCCTGGCCCCCGTTTTGGGTAACTGTTGCCTTGTTTGTGGCCCTTGACCTTGATATCCTCCCTGTGCTAATTCCCTGCCAGGTTCCACCCTCCTGAATGCTTAAGGGAAGTTCCTTGTCTGTGTATCCTGAATAATGGGCGTTAACAGCTTAGATGCAAGATTGTAAAACATCAGTAGCGAACTTCTGACCTCCAGGGTCCTCCCATTGTGCTGTAAGCCTGTTTTTAAGACCTCCTACCCCCTTCAAGAAATAACATTCGACATTTAAAATTAAAATATATATATGTAGGCCGTGGCTGGCTAATTTAAATAAGTGATGCGGATTTCTATAATCTAGAGTAAGTATACTATTTAGCAGTCAAGCCTGAGGTAGAAGATTACAGAAAACATCTTGCCTGCCTCTCCACCTCTCTTTCCTTCTCAGACTTTGAAAGCAAAACTAAGGCCCTGCCCTCCAGCAGGAGACTGGAATGGTGGTGTGTAGGTAGGAAGTCAGTCCAGTGTGCCCAGCACGGCTGCCCGCGCTGAGGAGCACTCACGCACTGAGGAGCCTTCACACAGCGTTGGCAAAGGACACCTTATAATGACAGTTTTGTTTCCATTCCTCTAATCCCCTTATTGACACCAGATGAATTGATCTCAGACTCCACTCTCACTCCAGCACTGTTTATCAAGGCACTTTGCCTGTTTGCTTATCCCAATGAAAACTGTTTTCAGTTGCGTGCAAACAAATCAATCAATCAATCAATCAATCAATCAATAACCATGCTTCCCATCTCACCCCCGTTTTTGCCAGCCATATTGGTATATGCGACATGGCTTTCTTAATGCTGGAATCAAATGAAAGGTTATGAGTGATTTATTCCTGAAAGTAACTTACATAACTTTTTTTCATATAAATATTGCTTTATCTTACAAAAATACCAAAATCTGTAATTGCATATGCCTTTGTGAGGAGTTAGTCTAGGGTATGCTTTTTGGGTGCATTTCAGAAACACAACCCACCCTTTTAAAGCATTGTAAGACCTGATGTAGGCACCAGAGCTCAAAGATCATAATGGTTAGGTGAGATCGTTTGGATCTGCACTGTCCATTGTAGGAACCACTATTTCATGACTACTGAACACTTGAGATATGGTTATTCCAAATTAGGATGTCCTCTAAAGACAAATAGAGAATGCAAAGTGTCTCATTAATTATTTAGATTGTGTGTTTAAAATGACCGATTTTTGTATGGGGTTAAACAAAATACATCACTGGAATCAATTTCACCTCACTTTACTTTTCTGTCTAGCTAGTTAGACATTGGATATCAATATGCAGCTTCTGTAGTGTCTTGGCTCGTATTTCTGACATACAGCACTGTTCTCCATCATTAAGGTTCCATGAAAACTCCATTTGGGAGCTCGGTACTGTATATACTGACCCAAGAATGAGAGACCTGCTTTGAGAAGCTCTAGTCTGTGCATCTTTGGGTATAGAGGACCAACTTGGTGGCTGGACATTCGAGCAGGCTGCCGTTTGCCCTTTGTGGTCCTTCTTGGAAGTCACTGAGTGCTTGGTTAAAGCACAAGCTGCTATGGCTCTGGACAGTTAGCAAACGTGAAATAGAAATAGCCTCCTCCTGGTTGCCGCCCTTCCAAGTTCCGTCTTCCTGGCTGGAAGAAGGCATGGGCTTCTGTTTGTGCTGCTCCCTTCGACAGTTCGCTGGCATGCAGACCTCACCTCATTTGTTCATTTAGACAACAGAGCAGAAACGCTCTATAACAAAGTCACCAAGAGATAATAAAACACGCCATTATTTAAGGATAAAACTAAACTGTATGCTTCTAGCAGTAGCCCTAACCTCATCCTCTAATGTGTTCTTAGCTGTGCTAACTAACACGAGGCCGGAGCAGACTTTTAGAAGCTTTGCATGCTATCTTCTAACAGAAATGAGAATAATAAAAAACTAACTTAGTGCTTCAAAATGTAAAAGATGCTTCTGTATGTGCTCCCTGTTGATCATCAAGACAATGCTGTGATCTGATTAGGGTGGGAGGTATTTTATTAAGGAGTGAGGCATCAGAGCTTAAGTGACTGACACCCTCCAGAACACCTCACTTTCAAAACTCCCGAATATTACGCTATTTTGAAAAATTACCAACCACTCTTGAGAAGTTTGTTGGTCTGATTATTTTTAAATGAGACATAAGTTTTAAACAAAGCACCAAAGACCAACAGTGAGTGTGTTTACTTTGTCAGACCGCAGATTATAGTGGAGATGCATCACACACCCCGACTTCCTACTCCATATCAGATATTACGTCATTGGTTAAAGAACTAGTTTTATGAGGGAAACAGTAAAAGTTCTAAGACCCTTTGTTAGAACTGGGTTTTACATTGTTTTTGAAAGAGAATGAGTATTCTAACAGATCCACACACATGTCATCACACTACTAAATCTTAACTGTAAATGGCTTCTCTGTGGGAATTTTTAGACAGTTCCCAATCCCATCCAAGTGGAAGGGTGTGGTGCTCTGAGCAGTACATCATCTCCATTTGTCTTGGGGTTGACATATTTACACAGCATACTTTGCTTTCCCGTCAGTGCCAAACTTAGAATGTAAGGGGAAGAGCTGAAGGGGAGGAATTATCTGGAAGATGCAGTTGGAAGACCTTTTAGTTGCTGTGGAGAAGTCACCATTCCCATTATTCTTTCTCTGTCAGTGTCCTGGTGAAAGAGCAGTGTAACCAGTTGCACTAGGAAGCCATTAGAGAACAGGTAAAGCAGCAGCCCCACCCAAAGGCCACCCGCCCACAGCGTCCAACACCGGTGTGTGACTCTCTAGCAGTGCACGCCCAGTACACTGCAGAGGCCTGTGACTGCTTCCTGCCTGGAGTTCTGCAGAGCTACGCCCTCTGGGCTGACAGGGAATCCATCCCCATAGGCATCTTATGTTAATTAAAATACTCCATTTATATACTAATGCCTCATCTCATCTTTCAGAGGCGAAAAGGAATTAAATATGAAATGGCTAATTTAACATGTCAGGGCTCTTTTTCCAGGCCAACCTCACATTACGAACAGGAATCCCTGGGCCAAAGTAATGGTTCCCAATTATCCAGTCTCAGGTTTTGTTAGACATTGAACAGAAGTCAACAAAACAAGTATGTAACAGAACCTGGCTAAGTAGCAGCACCCTCATTAAAACAGAGAATTAATCAGGGGTGATTAAAGGAAGCAATGCTTCATAGGCTCCCCCTTTTTCTTCTTTTCTAACCATAGAACAAAATATGGTACACAAAAGGATCGGAACTATTATGCAGTGCTCAATTAGCGGGAGGTGACTAGGTCTCTAACATGCTGTTTATCAAAAGAGCAGACGGTGTGTGCATGACTGTTGTTTCATTACAGACCCTGTCATTAATTCCATGTGTCAATACTGCCCTGTAGTACACAGAGCAGACAAGAAAGAAGAGCCCTTGAAAACAAGGGAATGATTTTTGAGTCGTTATCAAGCTAAGTGGCAAGCGGGAAGCTGAGACTCGTATAGGTAAATTCGAAGGGACTCTTGGGAGATCTGCAAGTGGGAAACAAGGATGTGTCTTACCAACTGCTTGACTATGTCCTGCTTTCAACAAGTGCACTTGAGTCGAACGCTTTGTTTCTGTTGCACAAAACATGTGCTGTGGGCAAGAGTATTCTCTTGCTTCCAGGTCAGGTAAGGTGTTACACACACACATCTGGCCTGATCTGTAATGTGCAGTGTGCAGTTGGGCATGTTAATATCTGAGCCCCAATACTGCACTGTCACTGCTGGGGGCGTCACATAGGAAGCCCTAAAACACTGTGAGCATCTCTTCATTTCTGAAGAGCAATCACAAAGTACCATCCCAACAGGAAGATATTAAAATATATCTGGAAAAAAAATATTTAAAGAACAGAAAATTTAAATATGTTTAAATCCTAAAAGTCCCCGCCCCTTTTTGGTTTCCGTTGGCAGTCCCAAGGGTTAGGCTGGGACAAAATAGGGTTTCTTTTCTTGGACGTGCTTTATCTGTGTCCTCTTGCCTGGCCACACCCTTATAGACTATGGTTCCTTACCGTTTAGTAAGATCAAATTTTAAATGATGTTTCGTTCCAGTTGAACATTCTTGGAGGCTTATCTCTTCCCTGGCCAGATGCCTGATCAGATGAGAAGCCCGCCATGATACTGTCACAGTGCCTAGAATGGGCTCTTTATCCAGTAGACATCACTGTACTTTTTGGTGATAACGGGGGCAGTCTTAACTGTGTTAAGGCCTGTGTATAGCATTGAAGGTAAGTATAAAGCAGTTGTTGCTATGTGAATATCTTAATACTGATACACATTTCAACCACGATGTTTATTGGACAATCAGCCATCATTTTTTAGAGAGGACCTTTGTAAATTTAGGACCAGTAGTAACTCTTCATAAAATGACCCAGTGAGAGCTGTAATGCAATCTGGATCCTGCGTGAGGGACTTGCCATTGCTTTAGTAATCATTGAATTACCTGCTGGCAGATTGCAGAAAAGGTTTGTGGTTGCCTGTGTGTCATTGACGGGCAGGTGCTGTGTTTGACTGTTAGATGTAGAATACCTTGACTAGGAAGAAAGTCCTAGGATGGTGATTTTGAGTGTCTTAAAACGCCAGGAACTTTTTGTGTGGTTTGAAATTATTTAGTAACCTGAGGCTTATTCTTAAGATCAACGTAGAATGGTGGGGATCATCTCGTGCAGCCCCTCATTTTATAGCTCACAGAGGCAAATGGCTTGCTTGCTCAAGGGCTTGTAACAGATTAGCAGAAGTTACGAGGCTAGAATCCTGAACTCCTAATGTCTCCGACGTAAGAAGCTGAGTCTACCAAATGGTGGTTGAGAGCAAGAATGCCCGCCTTCTGCTGGGCCGTCAGCATCATCTGATGATGTTGACTCGGCAAGGAAACGTTGCAGCTAGAAAGAGAATACTTCCTGACACATCGTCCTCTGCCATTCTCCATCTATGCCATGAACCATGTACTCTATCCTTTCGGGAAACATTTACCAAGCACCTACTGTGTGCTCTGTCCTAGACTAGGTACATGAAAATCACAGCCCAAGAAGACATGGACTCTGCCTTCAAGTTGAGCACAGTCTACTAGACAGCAAAAAATCTTTGGAAAGCGTTCTGTAGGGTTTCCTGAGGATTAGTAATCCTTTCCTGATCCCGTAGGGGGGCTTCCTGAGGATTAGTAATCTTTTTGTGATCCTGTAGGAGGGTTTCCTGTGGATTAGTAATCTTTTCCTGATTTTATAGCTGGGTTTACTGTGGATTACTAATCCTTCCCTGAACCTATAAATCTTGATGAAAACATCTCTGCTCACAGATTTAGCCTGTGTCTTGTTCGTGGCTTAGTTAGGAGGAACCTGTGTGGTACATGACTTGTGTGGAAAGGCCAGCCGAGTGTGGTTCACAGGTGCTCAACTGAAGACGCTTTGTTCTCTAGGGTCCTGCGCCAGGACTCAGGAGGACATTAAACCTGACTGGGTAAAGCACAGAAGAGTTTCCATTCATGTCAGAGCAGTATTGTTTGCAGCTTTCAAACCTAGAGTGACGGTTATTGTTAATGAATACTCTTTATATGGAAGGTGGCTTTTGAACTAGGAGACAAAGATACCTAGGGTGCAGTCCCTCTCCGCCCTGGAGTCCAGGTCTCTAGCCCTCTTCCATAGCACTGTCCAGCTTTCCTCCTCTTCCTCAGCTGAGCCAACCTGCTTGCCAGTCTCTGCACATGGCTAACTCTCGCTTGTGTGCCTCTGCTCGACTGGTTCTGCTTCTGGGTGCCATGTCTTCACTGCCGGAGTGTGGCCTCGGGGCTGCCTCCTGCAAGGAGCCTGTGATAGCGTGTCTCTGTTTCTTCCTGTTCCTCCCGCACGTGCCTCGCCAGGTCGCGGACAGAACACTGCTGTGGCGGTCATAAAGGTTCCTATTCTCTGTCCATATCTTACTGACCTGGACACACAGCCCTCAGTGAAACTGAACCAATAACCACAGCATCCACCAAGCCGTCAGCAGCGAGTCTAGAGCAAAGATTTTGTTTGGTGCCAGCCTTAGGATAGAGAAGAAGAGCAGAAAAGTCGGACTGGAGAGTAGGAGAAGCAATCCAGGGTTCATGGGTAAAGCAGTCACAAGCTAGTAAGTGGTCCATTCCTGCTCCCAAACAGGACAAGAAACCTCCTTGAACACGTTTCACATACAGCAGGAGTCGACTGGTGAACTGTAAGGCTCAGGGAAGGCAGGGCTCTGCCTGTCAGTCATCCTAAGCTTGTCAATCTGCTGTTCTGAAATCCTTTTGGTGTTGTTTGATGTGTGTATGTTTTATCTTCCAAACGGACTAAAGCTTCTTGAGCACAGGGACCATGTCTTTTGTTTGCTTCTGCGTCTCCCCCCTCATAACACACACTGTTTTATCAGGAAGGGGTTTCCTGTAAACACATAAAGAGCAAGAGTACAGCTTGTGGGTTCTGATTATATCCCAGCCATTACATTGTATACTTTCTGTGTGTAGTCTGTGGTCTGTGCGTTCATGAAGGCTCAGTGAGGTGAGGGTTCCTGACCCAGTTCCACAGAGGATGAAATCAAAGTCGAGAGTTTTCAAAGGTGTTGCATTAATGAGTTATAGATGTAGAATTGAAGCCCAGGTCTGGCTTTAGAACCTGTATGTGCTTTTCACCCCCCACAGTAAACACTTGAGTCCTCTCCAGTTCACAGAACTCTTTGATCTAAACTGTTGCTGTTGTTGCTACCACTGCTGTGCTGGGACTGCATGTCACCACTGGGAAGTGGGCAGAGCTAGTATTTCCATGACCCCATTTCACAGATGGGGAAACTAAGACTCAGAGACTTGCCCAAGATCTCACAGCTGGTAAGTGGAAGAGTCCAGACCTTAGACTTGCTAACTTACAATCCGTTTGCTCTTTCCACACATCACATTGCTGTCTTAATTTATTTGCATGAATGCATGACTGTGGCCAAGCTGCCCCGATGCCTTTTCTACAGAAATGTCAGTACACACCAACATTGCATGGAGCCGTGTGGAAAAGAAAAGAATACATGCCTTCTGAGGAGCTTCCATTTTAATGGAGGGTGACACAGAGCACCACCTAAATGCTTGAGAATGGTTGACAAGTGAGAATTAAAAGATGGGTGCCTTTGGTTCCATAGATTGACTAGTGGAAATGGACCATGAAACTGTAAAATTCTTCATTGTTCCCAGCTGTAAAGTGGGACTAAACGGTAGGAATAAAGATAACAGACTTGACTGGGAAATACTCTTCCTGGGTTTACGTAGAAAGTAGCTTGGTGGTTCACCCCCTGGCAGCTGGTCCCAGAATGGCCTGTTCTTTTGGAAATGTCATTGTGTTAGCACTGTCAGTGGTGGTGTGTCTACCAAGCAGCTCATCACTGGCTTTGGTAGTCCCCTGCCAGTTCCACTTCCGCCTCCCCTTACCGCTCAGTCCCGACCATACCTCGCTGCCTTCGGGGACCAACACCTTTAAACCTAGGTCATTAGGTGTTTAAAGTTTGTGTTTGGTTGGTTGGCTTGGGTTTGGGTTTTTGACTTTTGAGCCAGGCTCTTGTTTTTACAGATGTGTACGACTCCCAACCTTTAGACCTAGAATTGTCTTACCCTTCAGTGTGCTGTCCTCAGCAACTTGTCCCCTTTTCTTCACATCACTTGTTAGGATTCAGTATCACAGAATTCCTCATCACAGTCAGA